TTAGTGGGTACATGGATAAAGAAAATGTGGTCTGGCCCAGTGAGGTGGCTCAAGCCTATAATCCCAGCACTTTGGGTGGCCAAGGTGAGAGGATTGCCTCAGCCCAGGGGTTTGAGATCAGCCTGGGCAACTTGGTGAGACCTTATCTCTACAGTTAAAAAAAAAAAAAAAAATAGCAGGCATAGTGGCACACACCTGTAGTTCCAGCTACGTGAAAGGCTAAGGCAGAAGGATCCCCTGAGCCCAGCAGGTCAAGGCTGCGGAGGCCATGAACATGCCACTTCACTCCAGCCTGGGCAATAGAGTGAGAATTTGACTCAAAAAAAAAAGAAAAGAAAAGAAAAGAAAATGTGGTCCATTCACGCAATGGAATATTATGCAGATGTAAAAAGGAACTATGTTCTGCAGTGTGGAGGAATCTTAAGGACATTATGGTCAGTGAAAGGAGCCAGACACAAAAGGTCCCATGTTGTATGATTCCATTTATATGAAATGTCCAGAAAAGGCAAATTCATAGAAACAGAAAGTAGAGTAATGGTTACCAGGGTCTGAGGGAAGGGGGAGCAGCTGGAGGTGTGGGATTTCCTTTAAGGGCAATGGAAATGACTTAGAACTAGGTGGAGGTGGTGGGTTCACAGCACTGTCCATGTATTAAATGCCATTGAGTTGTTCACTTTAAATGGTTGATTTTGGGCTGGGTGCAGTGGCTCATGCCTGTAATCCCAGTACTTTGGGAGGTCAAAGCAGGAGGATTGCTTGAGCCCAGGAACTCAAGACCAACCTGGGCAATATAGTGAGACCTCATCTCTGCAAAAATTTTTTTAAAAAATTAGCTGGTTCGGGACCCGCCTGGGCAGCGAGACCTCATCTCTACAATAAATCAAAAAATCAGCCGGGCGTGGTAGCACATGCCTGTAATTCCGGCTACTCGGAAGGCTGAGGAGGAAGGATCGCCTGAGCCTAGCAGGTCGAGGCTGTGGTGGCCGGGAGCGGCCACTGCACTCCAGTCTGGGCGACAGAGTGAGACTCCAACTCAAAAAAAAAAAAAAAATTAGCTGGATGTGGTGATATGCACCTGTAGTCCCAGTTATTCGGGAAGCTGAGGTGGAAGGATTACTTGAGCCCAGGAGTTTGAGGCTGTGGTGAACCCTGATCATACCACTCACTCCAGCCTGGGTGACAGAGTGAGACTCCAACTCAAAAATAAACAAATAAATAAATAAATAAGATTAAATGACTGATTTTATGTTAGGTGAGTTTCCCCTCAAATTAAAAAATAAACTTTGGGAGATTGAGGTAAGAGGCTTGCCTCAGTCCAATTCGAGACCAGCATAAGAATCTGGCAAGACTTCATCTCTACAAAATAAAAGGAAAAAAAAAAAGAAAAGAAAAAATTGCCAGGCGTAGTGGCATGCACCTATAGTCCCAGTTACTTGGGAGGCTGAGGTGGAAGGATCGCTGGAGCCCAGGAGTTTGAGGCTACAGTAGCCATGATCGTGCCACGGCACTCCAGTCTGGGTGACAGAGTACGACTCCGACTTACAAAAAATTAAAATAAAAAAGAAGAGTATTAACTTGGATACCCTGGAAATGACCCTGACTCCCAGGGTGATCCAGCTCGAACCCCAATGGGCGCAGTTTGACTCAAAAGGGGCCTAGGACATGCCATCTCCAGGGACAGGAGGATAACCACTGGCCAGTGGATGGCCAAGCCTAATGGCCCACCATCATGCCAATTCCCTGTCACACGGGCCCTAGCAAACTCACACACCAATCTAAGCCCCTGACTCCAAGTGGGGAAATGAACCAGGGGTGCCGAATAGACATGGGGGCAGATGTCCAGATGGAGGCTCAAATGTGTGTCTGGAGCTCAGAAGAGAGGGTGGGCTGGAAACAGAATCTATCTGGGAGCCAGGGACCAGGTGCCTACAGAGCACCTTCTCCAGCCACAGTCTCATTTAACCCTTCCAGCCACCCCGAGTGACAGCAAGGCAGATCATGTGCCCATTTGACAGGGGGAAGGTGAGGCTTGGAGCGGCGAGGCCGTGTGGTTGGACGAGGCGGTGTCAAGGCCAGAGCCAAGTGTTTTGTCCGTGACTTGTTCCATACCCTTTCTGGACCTTAACCTCCTTGAGAACAAAGACTGTGTCCCATTCCATTTTAAATCCCTAACAAAGACAGGGACTGGGAGGGTGCACCAGGAAGAGGGGGCTCCCAGGAACCTGGGAATGGTTTTTTCCTGGGTCTGTTTTGCTAGTTACATGGATGTGTAGACTTTGCGGAAATTCACAGAGCTGTAAGGTGAATGCAGTCTTCTGTACATATGTTACACTTTGTTAAAGAAGTGTTTTTTTGTTTTGTTTTGTTTTCGTTTTGTTTTGTTTTGTTTGAGTTGGAGTCTCACTCTGTCGCCCAGGCTGGAGTGCAGTG